AACGCTAGATGCTGGGAAAATAATAATGAAAAAGACATGAGATATGGAACCCTCAATCTCAACAAAAATCTACAATGGAAAACACCGAGGCCGGGACGGCACCTGCGGCTCAAAGGAGTAGGGCGCCAGCCCCATATGCGGGAGGTGGCGGGTTCAAACCCAGCCCCAGCCATAAACTGCAAAAAAAGAAAAAGAAAATAAAGTTAAAAAGATAACTTAAAAAAGACTGATCTTCTAAAAAAGAAAAGAAAAGAAAAAGACAACACCCAGACTATTACACTGTCACAGAAGCATGTGCACAGAAGAAGAGGCAATACATTCTGAAGTGGAGGGTGTAAATCCTTTGATATCTTAGAGGGCCCAGGATGAATGAATATGATCGTGAATATGATCGAACAGGCACAGAAGAAAGGAAAAGCATGAGCAGAAAAAGTGAAGTTGCACAATTTGTTCATTTCAGGCCGAAAGTACCCTAGTGTGGCCAGTATGATGGGGGAGGAGGGAAAGGGTAGGGGAAGGGCAAGGAGGGAGTGTTAAGAGCAGATTCTCTGAAACTTCCTCTCTTTCTTGGTGGAGAAGAGCAGCTGGTCCTAGAGAGGGACCAGAGAGCGTGCTCCAGCGCCCTCGAACTGGGCATCCAATCCAGCTCGTCTCCTTGTTAGCTGAGCGACCTAGGGCAAATTACTTCATCTCCCATATGTAAAACACCAGTAGCAATATGGTTCTTCTAAAGTCGTTGTGAAGAGTAAATGAGTTAATGCCTGCAAAGCGCTGAGAACAGGGCCTGGAATGTTTAAAGTGGTCACTAAGTGCCAGTGATTTATCATTATTTTACCATCATCTGCAATAACATGTCATCATTTCGGTTCTTTTGTTAGTAAAGTACAACTTCAAATCCGAACCTGTCTTTTTATGATGTACTATGTAATTTTGGAGGTTCTAGGAGGGGAGGAGCTTGCTGAATTATCCTTCTCCGTAACATCTTACAGGTATAGTCAATACCTGAAACTCCACCCAGAAATGCATTAAGGCTTAGGGGGTTTTAGGAGTTCCTTTATAAAATGTTAATACTTTAGAAAGAGGGAACATTTCTTTCCAGCCATAAGCACCTCAGCATGGATTAGTGAACTATGCCGAACAGGAGAGAGGGCTGAGCGGCATTGATGGATGGGTGAGAAAGAACTTTCCAGCTTAGCATGCTATCTGTTGGAGAAGGAACAGGAGGCCTTATGTGGAGTCTTCAGGGCCCTTGGAAAACTAGGGACAATTTTAACCTTAAGAGAGGAAAAAAGAAATTTAGCTGAAGAAGAGAGGGGCATGGAGGACACAAGGTTGTTATGTGTAATTTCACAGTGTTGTTTAGGAACCATCCTGTTCATAAAAAGAGTTGCTAAAACGGCTTAAAGAAAGTTGCAGTCAAGTTTGGCTGATTTGCCCCATTATGTTTTAAAAATGTTATGATTATAAGCCCTAGGACATTTTACATAAAATGATTACTGGTGCTAGAAAAAAAGTCCATATCTCTTATTTCCCTTTTTTGTTGGAAGTTAATGCTGACAACAGAATGCATGACTCTCTTGGGCTTCTGATTTCAGGGTTGCAACTGTTTCCTGGAGATGTGGGGGGCCTGTGCCAAGTCATCACACATCCACAAAACTGCTGGTAGAGTTTCCCCCTAGAGAAGAAATAGTTCACTAGAGCTTTGGTGCAGAAACCAGCACAGGTAGATGCAATGTTTTTATAATTACCACTAGGAAAAAGAGAGGGCCCAGAGGGATTCTTCTGCCCGGGGGAGCCCCTCCCTGGTTATAACCTAATTTGCTGTGTGTATGTGGACTAGATGGGTAGAATTAAATCTTCTAAGGTGTTGTGGTTAGATTGTTTTCAAGTGTCTGGAGACTCCAGGAAACGTGAGAAGTCCTCTTTCTCTTTCAAAGGACCATCTTCTTGTGGTTCAAATGTGGGCTTTTGAAACAGAAACTGTAACATCAGTGACTATAGGATGGGTCTATTTGTTGTCCTATTTTCCCCATTGAGGTGAACATGAAAGCTCAGAAATTTTTTACTTCATGTTTGTGTTTGATAAAGACGGCTCTAAGGTAGCCGGATAGGGGACTGGAAGCTAATTAGTCGTTGAAGAAGTTCCTTGTTTTCTACAGATGGGCCCACTCCAAAGAACTGGCTGTCCTGACCTTCCTGTTACAGTGGCTCAGAGCATCTGTACATCTCTCTGGCCATGATGCAGTGAAAGTAAGCTCCAGAAAAATCACAGGTTATCTAAGTGGTTAAAAAAGTTATAGTATAGGTGAATAAGAAGGTATTAGATATAAAGTGAAAGAAAACAAGATATGCAACTAAAATGAACTTTGAAATGCAAGAAATAAATATTAAGCATTTTATGAAATTGTTTCCTGAAGAGGTCAGCCCAGATGCAATTTCTTACCTATTATAGGTGCTAAATTATCCAGAAACTGAATATTTCTGTGATCAGAAAGTTAAGAAGATAACCCCCCTCCTATACTCTTGGCACAAAATCAGGGCATATCTCTACAAATACCTGGAACACAATGTGTTGTACTGTTTGATGAGCTTGGTCTAACAAGATTGCAGTCAGTCAATAGAACACCTGAAATGATCAAGGAGATTAGGGCTTCATATTCTTTGCATGAGGAGCCACAATGACAGAATTCTTCAGTGTGAAAAATAGAAGGATGATGTTACAACTGAATTATGTTCCCTCAAAATTCGTATGTTGAAGTCCTAACCCCCAAGACCTCAGAGGTAGGCTAGATTTGGACATTGGGCCTTTAAAGACGTAATGAAATTATAAACGAGGTCATTAGTGTGGGCCCTAATCCAGTCTGACTGATTTCCTTATAAGAAGAGATTAGGAGAGAGACACATACCCACCCAGCCTCCCACCCCAGACAAGAACACGCACAGAAAGATGACCATATGAACACTCAGTGAGGAGGGAGAGCCGAGGAGATGCCCTCAGGATACACCAAAGCTGCCAATACATTCTCTCTGACTTTGGCCTCAGAACTGTTAGAAAACAAGTTTCTGCTGTTTAAACCACCTAGTCTATGGTCTTTTGTTATGGCAGCCCTAGCAGACTTATATGTATGAGAACAGATATGATCAAATGATTTAGAATTACGAAGTCTAGAAAAGGATCTTGTCATCTCAGGATACCTCTAGATCAGGGTTTTTTAAGGCATGGTCTGCCTCAAACCTCCATCAGAATCACCTACGACCCTTTTTGTAAAAAGCAGCTTCCCAGGTTCACTGGACCTAGGGTATTATAATGTTCTGGTTTGAGGCTTAAGATTCTGTCTCGTTGGTAGACACCCCAAGTGATGTTTTTGTAAACAAGAACAAAGTTCAAGACCTACTGTTTATGGTCCTGCCTCACCTCTGGCTCTTTTCTGGGCCTGAAAACTAATTCTGGGCTGATACTAATTAGATCTCAGGAAGTGCTGATGCGTCTGGTGCTCTGGCAGATGTTCTGTGATCCAGGAACCAGGCGTAAATCCTACCGTAAGCTATCTACCTCCAGGTGTCAGCTAGTGTTTACCCAGCATGTGGGACAGCAGAATGACACGGACCGGATGGAATCCTTAGAAGAGTTTACTCTTGAATCTGGAAAGAAATATGTGCCTTACTATCTTGCTTACTTAAGAATATAATGATGTAATAATATAATGAATAATAATCTACAGTACATATAGTATTTCACTCCTGAGATTTATTCAAAGAGTTTATTACCTTGGCACCTAAATTAACAGAGAAAAGGCAAGGAATAGAATGGGCATATCTGACTTTTCTGTTACTACATTATCAGTTGCGCTTATATGGAAAGTTCTCTGACAAGGCCTGTTCCATTTCATATTCTGTACAATTAAAATATAATATTAGTGAAACAGGTAAATACCACATATAAATAAAAATGAGCTAACAATAAATGAAATAGACTGTAATAAATACTTCAGACTCTGTGTTTTCATTTATTTCTTCATCACCAAAGGCAATGGGAACATAAAATATTCTTTCACATGACATAAGGTGAGTTTTCTTTCCTTCACCTGTGGACCAAAGAGGAACTTCAGTTAAAGACAGAAAGAGTTGAGAATCCAAAGTAAACACAGAGGAGACCGTTTTCAAAGTAGACGGAATAGGAGGGAGGCATTTGGATTCAAACATGCCAGTTCCTTAGGGAGGGTAAAATCTGCCTATCCCCCACTTGTAAGTGCGATTAAGGGACATAGGTTTTATAAGTTCGGTTTTTTTTTTTTTTTAACTGAAATTTAGGCAGGTCATTTGAGCATGTATAAATGGTCAGGTCACTGGGCTATTTCTCAATTTCAGATGGTTCAGCCTTTAAATACAGCTATGGTATCAGTGACCAGGCCCGTCTAGGAGATCTTATGGTGATCGGTTTCTGAGCAGTTAATGCTAGACACTGGCTAAATGTTTTTCCCTTCTTGATTAGCCGAACCTCAGTCTCTTTGTGTAGACCATTCATTCCCACCCGATTCCTTTTTTTTCTTTTGGGAATGAGAAATTGGAAGTGTCATTAATGTTCCAGGTGTTTTCCAGAAATAAGAATTCTGGCGCTCAAAAGACTTGATTTAAAACTCCATACACTAACACTCTGGAGAGGTTCTGAAGAAAAGCCATGAGTTCAACCTGGTTTTATTAGGGATGCAAAAAGGACATTCAGTCTTCAAGGAGACCGCTTCCCAGTTGGGGCAGAGAAGAGAGCCTTAACAATGAAAAACGGCCGTTTGGGCTGAATAGGGGCTCTCAGTCTGAACCAGAGCGCTGCTCTTGTGGTGTAAGAATCGGGTTCATTCCTAGAGCTCTGCGAGCGGCTCTTTTCCTCGATTCTGGGATCACTGAGGTCTTGGCCTGGCGGCCGGGAAGCCCCGGGGTGCCGGACTCGGGGCGCGGGCGGCGGCAGAGCGAGCGGGCCAGGCGGCCGCCGCGCTTTCATTAGAGGGCGCTCTGGGGGCGGCTCTGCCGCAGTCCCGACTCCCGCCGCTTCCTCCCGCCGCCCCTCCCCGCCGGCCCGGGCGAACGCGGTCTGGCCCTAGGGACCGAGTCTCGGCGCCGCCGGAGACCGGGCGCGGGCCGCGCCGCAGTCGGAGCGGGGCCGGGGCCCACCGCGGCCTCCTCCTTCCGCCGGCCCCGCCGCCGGCCATGCATTCTTCCGGCTCCTCTGGCTCCCGCAGCCCGGGTCGGGGCCCAGCCAGCCCGAGGTAACCTTTGGCTTGGCGGGCGCAGGCCCCGGGGCGGCGTGGGGGCAGGGAAGGGGTGTCG